AGGCAACCTAATTACGATCCCACCCTTGTGCCTCTGTGCATCACTTTACCAGCAAAACATGCCTGGGACTGTTCTTCATGTGTGAGAAGACATGAAATGTACCTGCTGCTAAATACATGGAGACGCTTCTGGGTCAGCCCCAGGACAGCCTGGAGAGCAGCCACCCACCATAGAGGGGGCAGGGGAAGACAGGGCAGGGACAATGCTGGGTGGGCAGAGCAGAAGGGGAGCAGAGGGGGAAACTTTTCCTCCCAGATAATGCTCTAAGTGACTTCTGCTATCACAAGAAAATGGATATTTGGGTTCCTCCAGGCTGACACATCTGGCCTGGCTTACACAGGAGGGGACCCAAGACCCCTGTGTCCCACAGCATCCTTTGCTCCACTGGTTTCAGCCACCCCGATCTGCTCTCAGCTGCACTCGGGTGCTGGCTACCCTCGGGAGGGCTGTGATGGGCAACCCTGCTCACAATGCCTTTCGGCATCCCGGGCATCCCTAACACCGCATCCCGGGCATCCCTAACACCACATCCCGGGCATCCCTAACACCACATCCCTCGCCCCCCGGTTACGTGCACGTGGGCTCTGCCACCGCCAGCTCCCCAACTGCATCCGACCTACATTCACCACCCTCTCACTGCCGCAGCTCGATGTTATTTAGAGCAGCCCGGCTCCTCCAGCCTCGCTGCAGACCCGCTGGTGAGAAGGAGCTCAGTGCGCGCAGGATGCAGCAAGGGGGGAGAAACGGCTGCTGACAGGTCCCTGCTGGTCCCCTTCCCTTCCCCGGAAACCAGTGACTAATCCAGAGCCAACAGATTCACCCTGCTCAACCTGGAAAATCAAACAACTGCTAAAACATTGGGATGAAGAACTTTTTGGGTGACACGCCAGGAGCAGACGATGCCGCCACCTAAACCCAGCATGGACCAGCCCCTGCAGCTCCCCCAGCCACCTCCAAATGGGTCAGTGCTCTTCCAGAGCTCACAGACCTATTGACCATCCTGTTTTCCAGCTAGGGAAGATTTTTTTGAGGCTATACATGTACATATTGTTCAGCTGAAACAAATCCCTGCGCTGGCATACTTCAGGGTCTTTGACTTGTTCTTCAGTAGTAGGATGTGCTGCTGAAATATTTATTTTTACTGTTTCCCTTGCCCTTGAACTACAAGGAAAAGGAGCTGGCTTCTACCTACAAGCAGTCTGGAGATACTGCTGTAAACTTCTGTAAATCATAAAGCACACCGCAATTAATCCAGCCCTAAATCCCATTACAAATCCCCGTTACTTTCGGCATGGGAATAGCTACTTGCTTTCAAGAAAGACGCGACAATTTATGGGAATACTAGGTAAAATTGATTTCGGGGGGAGGAAAGCCCAGCAGAAGCCTTTCTAGTCAAAGTATGCAATTTTTTGATTTGCATTCGCGTATTGCACCGTATGCAGTTAATGCTCAACATAAGTATACTGGTCATCTCTTTAAGGGTTTCCATTAGGTACAGTTTGAGAGCTGGTATGCACTGAAGGTGACATGTTAAAAAAAAAAGACAAAAAGCCCCAGAGAAGTGGCCCGCTTTGGAGTATTATCTTCTCCTTCCCATCCCCAGCCGGGAAATCAGCAGTGATAAGCCCTGTTGGCGTGGGCTGAAATATGCCCATCCTGGGGTCTGCAGAAGTCTCCGGTTGAGCCCAGGGCCTCTTCTCACCCTCCCCAGCAGCCTCCCCCCCTCACCGGGCTCCGCTTTATCGTCCCACGGCTGCACACCCCCACACCCGCCCCGCACACCCGGGGCCAGCCCTATCGGCAAGCGCAGCAGTGGCCAGTGCCCCCGATAAGGCTACAAATCCCAAAGGGAGATTCAGGGGTGATAAAGCCCTTGCTGGGGTCATCTCCTCACCCAGCTAGCTCATTCTTCACCCAAGGGGCAGCCTGTCCCCAAACACCCACCGCCAGGTGACAAGACAAATCACTGGGGGCTGGGTCCCACCCAAGGAACGCCGAGTCCCACCGACCTCTGCCATAGGGCTCCCCAAAGACCAGCTCACGGGTGAGTGCACAGGGAGAGGAAAAAAAAAATAGAAAAAAGAGGAGCTGGCAGGGCACAGCCATAAATTTCTGTGCTCGGTTCCCCGTGTGACAACTGAAGATAAGCAGCCCTCCCGTCTCTCCCCGCTGTTTGCCCCGCTGGCTTGCAGGGCCAGCCAGCTTTCTGGGAGGAGAGGTGCTCCTACCACCTCAGTGTTCTTCTGACTCCCGGTGGAGCGGGGCCGTAATCTCCTCCGCATCATTAGAATAATAAAACAATATGGGAACAAGGGTTTCTCTCTTCCTCCTGGTGACAATTACCCTCATGCACTCCCCCCCTTCCCCAGCAAAGATTTTGAGCAGAGCCGGTGGGCGCAGCCCAAACCGAGCCTAATTCTTCTAAAGACTAATTCAGTCTGATAAGAGTGCCAGGGACAAAGCCTGCCCTGGCAGCATAATTAAATAAGTACAAATTGGTTCTAAAACCTCACGCTGGCAGAATTTTTACAATTAATGACCAGTTGTCACTGTCGGGGAGGAATCGCTCTCACCGTACGCACCCAATCTGGGTCAGCAGCCCGTCCATCCCCTGTCTGAGGACGGGGAAGCGAAGAGGCAGCGTGGCACTGCCCCAATAAGCCGTTAATGACACCACACTCATTACCGCCGATGACAAACATCGTGCTCTTGTTTCTAAGCAGAATTTTTGCCAGCTCGCTTTGACTTTCTAGGCTATGATTAAACACAGAGACAGAAAAATAGGGTGCTTACCTGGCCTACTTTTTTTTCACTCTCCCCCTCCGCATGCGTTTTGCATCGAAAAAATCTGCACAGTAAAACAAGCGTCTGTATGATCAGACAGAAGGCTCGATGAATGTGGGGCAACATTAAGTTATTTTAATAATGCAGCTTATGAAAGATTGAGAATAAATAATAATATGGTTAGGCGATCTGTTAATGAAAATCCCCTTGCTCTGGAATCTCAAATAAGAAACAGTATATATATCTATATATATATCTCCCAAACTTCTCTGTGTACTAAAGAAGAAAGGATGGTAAATGTTTTTATTTTAAAAAGCAATGTTACCATTGTGGTATCAATCAAATGCGAGGTAATTCAAAAAATATGCTGACAGGCTCTGTCCTTTCCTTGCCCTGCTCTGCCTACATTTTTTAGCACATACAGTGCATCCACTTGAAAGCGTGGTGGATCCTTGCACACAGCGGGATTTTGCAGTCTCCTGCGGGACCCACCATGTTACAATAGCGTTCAAAGCTTTATAAGCTTCATTTAGTTTCAGCAAGCCTGTTGGAGTATTGTCTGTGCTTAAAGAGGCATTTAAAACTAAAGCGAAGCTTTGAAAGCTTCAGAGACAATGACGCTGGACTCCCTAAACCCATGAGTTCACCGCGCGGTTTGAAGGGATGGCATCATGGAGAAAACATGACACACTGCTCCGAGAGCCCCGCGGTACCAAGGCAGGGAAGAGGGGGTGAGCAGCAAATCTGGGGCACGCGCTGAGCTTCTGTCGCCGAGGGTCACCAAGGGGAAGGAAAGCATCCTTAATTTTTTCCTGCCCTTGAGATTTCTCTACCCATGCGTATTTATTCTCTTGCTCTGGAATGATTTCTAAGCCATTGCTATGTGCATTTCTAAGCTGTTATGAATAAAAGAAAACAACCCCCGGAGCGCAGACAATGAAAACAAGCAGCAAGGCAGCAGCCGTGCCACGAGGAGAAGTCCAGCTCCTGCCACTCTTCCATCCTGCGGTGCCGCGCTGGTGTAAGCGCTTTGCACATCCCCGGACTGAGCAAAAGGCACCAATTAACACAGAATGAGGGAAATAACTGCAAAACTGGTGTCAGTAAAGCCGTGCTCTCCCAAAAGGTGCTCATTTTTCAGTGCACAACCATGCCTGTCACCATTTCTAGGCAAGGGCATGTCATTTGTATAACCACGGAGATAAACTGCACCCATAACATCTCAAGGCAATAGGAAAAATATCCCTTTGAGGCCCAAAAATAAGCATCCACCCTACCCACGCCACCTCACTCGGGCTGTGAAGGTCACCCGCGTCCTCAGGCTGCAGGGGCACGAAGTCCCCACTCCCACCTCATAGGAGTTCCCCGGTGAAAGCCCCGGTGCTCAGCCACAGGCAGCACCCTCTCAGCCACCTTAACCACCAGCAGTAAGGACAAAGAGAGGGAAGCCCATGCAAAAAATAGGAATGATCCATATAAATTAGCGCCAGTCGGCTACGTGGTGCCCACGGGCAGATTGAAAGGACGGCCCGTAGCAAACGGGCGTAGTAAATACCAGCCTTGCAAAAAGCCATTGGGCCTGAGTGGGTTTAGAAATAAAACTGTAAATACAATTCTGCGATGACAGACACTGTCAATAAAAGCTGGGCAATGTGGGATGACAGACACTGTCAATAAAAGCTGGGCATACCCCAGTGCCACAGCAGTGATTGGAGAGCCATGCCGTGCCACGCCGGCTACACCTCGTTGGTAAGACCCCAGCATTTCAGCGGGGCACAGCTGCAGGCAAAGCTCGATGGAGCAGAAAAGGAGATGGTCTGAACCACCACATGGTTTAATTTTCAACGCCAAGAGCCATAGGAGGTTTTAATAGGAGTGAAATGTAGTTTTACTTAACCTCAGTCCAGTGGAGCTGTTTTTCTCTACAACTAAAAGCAGGGAAAACAAACCAGTTGGAGGCAGACAACAGGCAGGGGAAATTTTAGCTCAAAGGGTTAAAGCCTGGTAAAGGTGTAAAGCAACCAGAGTCAGTTTAGTACCACAGTATGTCAGAAAAAAGCTCTGCTGTCAAGAACGCAGCAGTTCCACGTGTGCACAGGTGCATTTGAGGGGGGAAGATGCGCTGCTGACATTGAAAAAACCCAGCACAAAAATAAGAAAGATTTCAAAATACATCCAAATTGGAAACACTACCATTAAAAGCTTACTTAGGCACAGTAAAATATTGCTGTAGCTCTTTTTTTTGAAGTCCTGAAGTGCTACTATAACAAAAATAAACACGCTGATAAAATACTAGAGAGCAGCAATGCCAAACTCCTGGAGAAGTGAATGACCGACTTGCCCGAGCCGTGCTTCAGGCCGGGCTCCAACGCTGGCTTCACAGCCTGGGATCCCATGTTAATGGGTCACAGATGTTCTCCTGTAAGGAAAAAAATAAAAAAAAACTTGAATGTGTTTATTTCTTTCGTGGTACAGGCCAGAGGGCGGTTAGGGGAGCAACTGGAAACCTGTGAGTTGCAGTCACTTCTCGATCGAGTAACCCATTGGAGAACGCTGCTGTGCAGAATTATCCCCCCGCCTCTCCCCCCCTCTCAGTTTCAGCAGCAAGTAAGAGTTTCACTTCCATCTGAAACTGAGGGGGGAAATTTAGCTAACCTAGAAAAACAACACAACACGCACGGCTTGTGAAGTACCAGGGATTTTTCATGCCACAGCCTTAAGGCCACCTCTTTTTTTACACCTCCAGAGAAGCCGGGGGGGCCGGTGGCCGCTCAGCTGGGTGCCAGGGCACCACGGTGCAGGCGTGGGTTGGGGTGCCCAGGCTCGCTGCCTGCTCTGCCAGGGCTGCCATGAGGAGACATCACCTCCAGGCACGACCTGTCTTCTCACCTCACCTCTTTCCAGGCAACTAGTGAGGCTGCTGCCATCGGTTTCTCACCCGGGGCCCTTCCTCAGCACCTTGCTCCTTCAGAAGCAGGGTGAGCTAGCTTGGGTTCTCAATCCTTTAGGAAAAAGAAAAGCCAAGGTATTACGAGGGAGAAAAGGAATCTGTCCCTGAGGACAAGGACTGCTGTTACAAAGCTGCCCTGACCGCCCCACAGCACTGGCATTTGATTTTATTGATGTCAGGGTTGGTTTTAATGGGGGACAAGGAGAGGCGCTGCCTTGCACCCAGGCAGGGGGTGGGTGGCAGGCTGAGACAGAGCAGTACAACTCCTCTGACATGGAGATGGGAAAGGCGACAGGACCTGAGCTCAACCCACAGCATCAGCACCACTCCTTTCTGGATGCCTGCATTGCACAGAGCAGTAAAATCCAGGCAAGAGTTGAGTATTTCACCACAGTCCTGCAGATACAGGATACTGAAGTCCTCTCCAGGGCCCCGGTTCCACTGCCACTGAAGTCAAATGTTCCATGTGAATATGGGATGCTTTGTCCAGGGGTGGCAGGCAATGGGTCCACCTACAAACAAGCATTCCTCCAAGGGCACAAAATATACGGGATCCCCCCACCCTGCTGACCTACAGCCGAGCAGTACCCCACAGACAGCTCGGCTGAGGAAAGATGGGGAGGTAACACCTCACCTGGGGTCAGAAGCCACGTCACCCCCTCACTTGGAATGGTTTGATTTCTGGAGGAGTCTCTGCAGAAGCCCTTGCCATGGGGCGGACCCCACAGCATGGCGAGGAGGCCTGGGATGCCCTGGGGAAAGCCAAAAGAGCAACTTTTTTCTCTTATTTCTATAGCCAGGGATCAGCCTGGATACAGCTTTGTAATCTGCTTCCAAACGCTACCTAGGCAAGTGCTGCAGAAAAATCAGACAGATATTCTAAACATTTTTTTTTTTTATTTCCCAGAAAGCAATTTTTAGGCTTGTTCGTTTCTTTTCACGGAACATCTGCGATTCCCCGCAACTGTATAATCGCTGTCATTGTCTTCTGAAAATGACAGTGGCACTCGCACAGCCTCCTTCCAAATAACTGCGGGTACTTTCAGTTCCTCGGGGGAGCGCGTTCGTGATGCGCGGGGCTTTGCCTCACGGCACCTCTGCCCTTTCCCTGGGGATGTGCATCCCGCCTCTGCCCTGCTGACATCCCGGGGGCCGTGGCCCTTGTCTCACCAGCTGTTCCCAGCGGCAGGGTGCTCACAGCTGGACGGGGAGTGCTACAGCTCCAGCACAGTCGGCGGATCCCCTCAGCCGCAGGAGCCGGGTGCCCAATTCTCCGCGTGCCGTGCCGAAAAAATGGACTCTGCCAGGTGCCTGAAGGCCACCTAGAGTTGCTTTTCCAAACCTGTCGTATGGGCTGGGTGACACTCCAATGGAAAGCAACTGCGTTGTTGCTCTGAAGGGCTTGATAAAACATTAAACACATTGACCTCTGACAACAGCGCATCCGTCCTAGGAAACGCGTTTGGGTTATTCTAACAAATTACATGTTTACATCCAAAATCTGTTTAGTTTCCAGCAAGAAATCAGAGGATGGCTAACATGCAATATTTCCTTAGATTCTGCCAAAACAGCCATCTGGTGGCTGGGTAAATGCAGAAGGACCGAGACTTTCTTTAGGATATTGAAGACTATTATACAAATAGGTTACCAATAAGAGGTTGTGTTTCTATGTAAAACTGTCAGCCCTTTACCATTCCACGCTCCAGCTTTGCTCTCAGCTTTCTGAAGCATTATTCCTTATGCTGCTGACTACACACTTGCACTTACATGTTTTCTTATTTTTTGGCTCAGTGGAGCAAGCAGTCAGCTTTTCCCTCATTCCTGAGGGATATCAGGTTACAACAAATGTTGTTCTGCTCTTATATACTTACCCAGTGGCATATTAAAAATGCGTATTTTCCATTTGATTTTCCTCCTTGCCAGAGTTGGGTTTAACGCCACTTTTCTTCTCCCACTTGCTGGGTACTGTTAACAAGCGACGAGCTTATTCCCAGATGTAAAAATGCAGGCAACACCACATGCCCTGTTGAACCCACTTGGGGGATATAGTCCCTGCAAGTCACAAAAGCGCCAGTTAATTTTTAACGGAGGAAATTTATAGTGCGTCCCTGCAGCTAAACTATTTTTGAGTGTATTAGTTTTTTGAGGAGGCAGGAGGCGAGAGATGGGCGTAGGGAAGCTGCCTGGTAATGGGGCAGCCTCCGGCAGTGGGGTGCATTCCTGCCCCACTGATGTACAGCCCCTGTTCCTGTGGCAGGACCCAGAGGGGCTGCAGCCCCTGGCAGTGGGGTACCTGCCTGCTCCCCCATGCAGGCTGGCACCTGCATGGCCACGGAGGAGCACCCACTGCTGAGCCCTAGGGGACATTCAGGGCCCTGTGGCTCTTGGGTTTTGCTCCAACTTTGAGCTCCATTCAGTTAACTAAAATTGAAAGAATTTTTAAAACAGCCAGAAATACGGTGCAGGCTCGTTAGAGCTGCATGCTGAGGTCCGCAGGGTGGTGAATACCCACCTGCTTTTCCTTGCCCACCCCTGCCGTGGCTCAGTTTAGCCAGTTCATCTAAGTCCTGGATGAAAAAAATCGGTATAAAATCCCATGAGGTGGGTTTGACTCCCCACAGGCATCAGCAGTACTGCTCCAGCAGCCTGCACCACCGTTCAGCTGCCCAAAGCCTGCTCTCTGACCTGAGGAGAAGCCCAAATGCCTTAACACCAACACCTGCCCATGTCTCCCCGTGCTATAGAGGGGTACTTCATCAACCCCCACCCGCAGGCCAAGGCACTGCAAACCCATCTTCATGCACGTGTGGTAACCACAGGACCTTATTCTCAGTCTCCAACCTCTTTAGGTCCAGGAGAAGGCTCCTGTATTGCAAGTATGTGTGCATTCATCAATGGAATGAAAAAAAAATATCTAACCAACTGATTATTTTTTTCGTGTTTACAATTAGGCTAAACACTTTGAATCATTAATATTCTTTCACAGATGTGCTAGAAACTGTTAGAATAGGAAGCTCGAGAGGCAATTTATCACTATCATAATTCCCCAAAACACCGAGAGGAGGGTTGTAACTGCTTTTATCACAGCAAAAAAGGGTGAACGTTTCAGCCTGAAAATACATTTGTGACTGGATAATTGCCACGTGCAAAGAGCATGAACTAGAGGACTAGACAGACAGAGAAGGACAGTAAATCATATGGATGTAAAAGCACATTACTACTCAAGCTAGAAATACTGTTTAAAGGAATTGTATTGTCTGTTGGCATTATATTTTATTTTCTCTTAGTTGAGCATATAAAGAAATAGATCACTACTCAAAGAAATCTTCTGAATTGGTGCCTCACTACTTGGATTTATCTGTGACCCATACAATTATGGATGATCAAAAACAATTAAATGCACTCATTAAGTAATGATCTTACCAATGGAAAATATATGAAATCAAAAAGTCAAAAAAGTTACAGGAGAAAACGTTCTAAAATTATTTTTATATTTCTATTCTAATACGATATATAACAGCAAGGAGGACAGGCTGGTATTTCTAAAAGGTCATTTTTTTTGTGCAAGTAACCAGCAGTGAAAATACCAGAATCGCATATTTCACATGATTCACAGTCCCAGCAGCCAGAGGTAGAGAGCTTGTGTGGCCATACTGTAACTCTTAACTTATGAAGAGATACATCTAGTTTTTATCCTAGATTTTTATCCTTTATCTTCAGCAAGAGAGCTAGTTATCTTTCTTTGCTTTATACAAATCTAAGCATTTTGATTCCATCCATTTGGGAAAAATCCAAAAGATTTTTTTATCCCATATAGCATGACCAGCATGTGAAAAGAAAACAGAGGATGCTTGATGCAACTTTCTCAAGGAAAAAGAGTGCAAACTCACCTCTCATTCTCCTGGGAAACCCTCTCATTCCCCACAAGAAAAAAAGAGGAAAAAAACATAATGGGCTGAACTTGAAACTTGGGTTGTTTCAATTTCTGTTTTAAGTAGTTGAAAGTAACGCACTCCTCCTTCAAAAGCATTGAAAGCTGATGAGACCGATTCTCAAACTGAAGAAGGGCACGAGACTCCTGTCAATTCCAAAAACAGTTATTCAGGAAAAAAAAAAAAATCTACTTTACTGCTGGTCTCTGTTGAGACCCCAGATCCTACCCAAGGTATCTGGGCTCTGAAAACAAGACTAAGCAAAGTGACTTTCATCTAGATTGCATATTCCTGCTGTATGCAGAACCAGGCTCAATTGCTTCTTCAATAAAGGATGATTTACAATCCTGCTGTCTTTGACAACAGAAAGTTTAAGTGAAAAAAAGAACAACTCACAAAATCTCCCTTATTTACTTGAGTTCATCTAGCTACCCTAGGGAAGAAACCTGAGACTAACTCAGGCAGGTTTTTGGTCTCCCAGTGATTCCAGTGGAACCCAGTCTCCTGAAAAGCTCTGAAGAGACACAGATTCACAAGTGCCTTGCATGGCATTGAGCAAGGCTGACCTCCAAACCCTGGGGAATGTCAAGGCAGACACTGAAAAACACTCAGTAACCTGCTGAGGGACCAGGACCAAAAGAGACTGTATTGTGCTTAAAGCACTCCAGGAGAGCCTCTGTTGGAGAAAACCGTTGGAGTAAGATCTTTTCCTTATTTTACCTGAAAACTAAAGAAAAAAGAATTCATTTAAAGGAAAAAAACTTCACAATACTGTTTATGATGCTTAGGAAAAGATAGGCTCAGGCTGGTCCCTTCCAGAAGCTAGGCTGCAATAGAACTGCACTTTAAGTTGCATTTGACAGAAGCACATTTTTCAACAAAACCTCTTCAGTCTCAAAGCCTTTTGATGCTGCAGAGAGAGCTACTTTTCTCCGCAGCGGGCTGAAGCTGCATCTCGCGTCTCATTTCAACACACCACAGCTGTTTTTCTGCAGCAAAGCATTCCAAAACACGTAGCATTTGAGGCTCATTCGCAGAGACTCTTTGCATGAGTAATCTCTGAGCAATCACAAGTTTTCCTCGAGAGAAGCTCCACGGCTCAGAGCAGATTCCGGGCTCTGCCCTGGCATCAGGTGCTCTGGTGGGAACACATCCTGGGGCTGAGAGGGAAGAAAGACATCAGCAAGGAGGGCACAATATCCCCCATCATCTTGCATTATGCTCCCTCCCAGACCCGCTGCAGAGAGAGCCCCAGCAAAGTTATTCTGTTTTGATAAAAATCGGGTGCGATTCAAGCTTTAGCCAAAAGGCAAGATGGAAGCCACGCGCCAAGGAATTCTGTGGCATAAACCTCCCAGATTTTTATCCCTCAAGCAACTGAGCGATAAATTTGAGGGAATTGTTACCTTAAGGTAACAATTGGAGGTATCCTTGAGGTAACAATTCCAATTCAGAAAGCAGAAAGGAGTTTGAGAGGGAAATTGTTGGGGTGAAACCCAGGGCACACTTGGTGGAGGTGAATGGGGGCAAGATTTACCATTCCCGTAAATAGGGTTCAAGAAAAAAAGGAATTTTACTAGGCTGAGCAAAGGATTCCTAAAAAGGAAACGATTTTCCTCCTTTTCATCGGCAAAAAGATTGTTCCAGTGACAGAGTTACCATGGAAACCGATTTTGAGAATAACAAGAATGCATTTATGGTACAGAGCTTATTTTAAAGGCTGGTGAACCAGCAGCATCCCATTCCCCTCACTGGTCTGATAACCTGATCAGATGGCCCAAAGAAGTAAAATAACACATTTTAAAGTGGTGTGGAGTGGCAACGCTAAATAGAGCTGCCACAGCTTCGTATCACTCTGCCTTTATGACCTTCAAAGCTGTGGACAGGGGACTTGAAAGAAAGTTTCTCCCAGGACACAGCTTTAGCCAGGCTGACCGGTACCCCACCTCTCAGCGAGCAAATGCCAGAGACTGGTGAGCACCTCTCCTCCCATTAGTTCAATTAGCCTGTCATTTTCTTTCGAACCATTTTTAGTTTTTGTAGTTTTGTAGTTTTACTACAAAGGAGGGTTTTTTTTCTCCCCAGTAGAATGAAAATTAACAGCTGTCAAACGCAAGGGCATGTGTGACTGACCAAAGTGAGGAAGGCAGTGCTCCTGCTCGCCGTGGTGCCTCTACACTCACATATTTCACTTCTTCTTGTGGTTGCCTCACGGACAAGGGAAACCGAGAAGCGCCTGCTACCCCAAGGGCTACCGTGATGCTGACTGCACACCTTGGTGGCAAATATTTTCCTCACCAGCTGTGGAGAAGCCCCTGAAAAAAACCAACTAATGTTACCTGTAAAATCTAGCATACATTGAAACAAACACATGGCTCCAAATTGCCCATCTGTGATTTACTCCACCTGAAGCAGAAACAGGTCACCCCTTCACACTGAATGCGGAAGGGTTTTCCCATTATCCCAGCTCGTTGATCTCTGAAAAGCCAGGAAAAGCTGTGACCTTTTGGAAGGGCCCACCACCTCCCGAGTCTGCTTTTTACAGCAAAGGGGTTAATTTCTGCCAGGGGAGCTCAAATCCTAAGGAAGGAGGAAGGAGATTACTACCTTGTACAGCTGGAGGTATTCTCAATGAGAGAGCATCCCTCTGCAGCGGGGGATAAAAAGTCACCATAATAATGGTTATTGCAAGCATGAAGTCACTGGCACCTAAAATTTTCTTTCCCATTAAATGGAAACACAAGCTAATAAAAGCTACTTGTATATATTGCCCCCAGGTTTCCCATCTTGGGAGTAGCCGTGCGAGGCTGCAAGTGATAATACTCATCCTCTGTGAAGAAGAAAAGTCTGGTTTACATTGATCTGGGATTCAAGCATGAGGTAGAGATAAGAAAAGACATTTCTGGAGTCTCTCTCGCACACAAAATGTTGACCTAAGAGTAGAAGTCATGAGGTTTTTTTCTTCCCCTTATTTTCAGTCTTTGCTCTGTCTTGTATTTACTTTCTATTTTCATTGCTTCTCCTAGACCTTCGAAGGCTGAAGGACAGGAGGGTGGACATGTGCGTTCTCTCTATTCCAGACTTCAAAGAGAAAGGATACGTGGATGTGAGCTTAAAACTAAAAGGAATAATGCTCTACTAGCACTGCCACGACATTTTTCAAGGCAAGGCTATCAGGAGCTCTTCAGTTTTCCAGTGAGATACGAGGCTGTCCTCTGCACACAAGTACCCAAGGAGCAGTATC